TATTAGATGTTTAATATATTCTTAGGTCTTACAACCATACTTATTGGATGTTAGCATCCTTATTCTGGAGACACAGAAGCTGAGGCTTGGAGACATTAGGTAACTTGCCCGTGATCATAGAGGTGGCAATTGATAAGAAGAGATTTGAATTCTTGTCTCTTTGACCTCAAAGCCTATAATTTCTCCATATCCTCAAAATGTGACCTCGGTTCATGTAAGTGATGGATAGAGCATCCATACCAGTCCTTCACATTAGACTCTAGCAATGTTTCTATGTTGTCCATAAGTCAGTAGGAGAAAAGGCATTCTTTGAAATAAGGCATAATAAAATATGAAATTTTTCTTGTTATTCAATGGTCTCTGGTCAAGCACTTAGAAACTAAGTCTGTGGTCTTTCTGGAATAGTTAGTGGAAAGATAGAGGGGTGAAGAACATCCAGTAGTTTTCAAACTTTTTCAACTCAACTAATTTCATGAAAAAGAAAAATCATGATTACATTAAACTACATTACTACCTGTGTTTACAGAATTTTTTTCTGAGGAAATTGCACTGGGATATCCAAAGTCCAAGACAGAGTTCCTAAAGGTATTGCCAGTAACTATCTGTGTGATCTCAGGCAGGTCATTGTCCCTCTGTGGGCCTCAATTTCCTCAAGAGAGAGGGAAAATACATACTAAAATAACCTTTGAAGCTATAGACCCTTTATGGATCAGATATAAGCTATGAATCCTTTCCCCAGATCATGCACATACGAATGCACACATACAACTTTAAATGCTGGTTCTGGTCGTTCAGAGATTTCCCCATTTGTGGGCCTCCAAAGAACATATTAACCCTTGATTAAAAACCACCCGAAATATGTGATAATGGGATCAAAGTCATGTTTACAAAAAGAGCCCTTATCTTTTAGAGATGCAACCTGATATATTTATGGTGAAATTATTTGATGTTTGGAGTTTGTCTTAAAATGATTTGGTGTGTGTAGGGAGGGGTCGTGGCAGTTGGGTGATATATAAAACAATACTGCCTATGAATTGATAATTAGTGAAGCTGGTGATTAGGCCCATCATAGTTCTTTACACCATTTTCTCTACTTTGGTATATATAAAATTTTCTATAATAAAATAAATGTACACAATAAAAATGACCCATAATTTTAAGAAATACCTGGGATAGATGATCCCTCATGTTTCCAATTCTAACATTCTATGATTCAGCATTTCAATGAACGTGCAAAACAAATGGACTTCTGGAAACATTTTATGTGCTTAGGGCATTGGATCATCATTCCTCTCCTCATGGACCTTCTGGACTAAAGGGTCTGTCGTGGCCCCATTTTCCAAATGATCCTGTGATTTTCCATTTAATTTACTTCTGTAAATATACTTTTAGGGGAAAGTAACAAAACCAAAGGCAAAGAAATTGGACAAGGTTTGGTCATTAATCATCTCACATGATAATGTGGCTCAATTTATTTTCAAAGATTTAAGATGAGAAGACCCAACAATGTTGCAAATGATGTTTAGAGGGGTGCAAAATACTTAGGACATCAGGTGCAAATGGGAGGATGTAAAACAGTGTACAAACATGAGAGACAGTCCCATGTGGTTGAGAGCTTGGGCGCCAGAGCCATGCTGCCTGGGTCCCTGTCCTGCCTGTGACACCCAAGTAGCTACATGATCTTGGGTAAGCCACTTAGCCTTTCTAAGCTTCTATTTCTATATCCATAAAATGGAAATAACAATAGAATGTTCTGTTGAGATTAAGGTTGTGCCTGACTTATGGTAAGATGCTCCCTATTCTTTCAATTATGAAAATATAAAAACAGATTGAAAAAATGCAAGATATAGATCAAAATGCTATCAGTAGTTGCCTCTGGATCATGAACCAATGGGTGATTTTTTTTTTCTTTAATTTTGTCTGGGCTTTTCAAATAGTGACAAAGAGCATTTGCCACGCTTATAATTACAGAAAAAAAGTTTTTTAAAAAAGTAATTTTAGGGCCGGACCGGTGGCGCACTGCTACAGTGCGCCGCTTGGGAAGCGCGGCGGCGCTCCCGCCGAGGGTTCGGATCCCACATACAGACCGGCCACTCACTGGCTGAGCGAGGTGCGGGAGCAAAACCAAGGGTTGTGATCCCGTTGCCAGTCCCGGTCTGGTGCGGGCGCGACACTGAGGGTTGTGATCCGTTGCCAGTCATGAAAAAAGACAAAAAGAAAAAAAAAAAAAGTAATTTAAAAAGTTTCCTTGAGGGCCGGCCCGGTGGCACACTGCTACAGTGCGCCGCTTGGGAAGCGCGGCGGTGCTCCAGTAATTTAAAAAGTTTCCTTGAGGGCCGGCCTGGTGGCACACTGCTACAGTGTGCCGCTTGGGAAGCGCGGCGGTGCTCCCGCCGAGGGTTCGGATCCCACATACAGACCGGCCGCTCACTGGCTGAGCGAGGTGCGGGAGCAACACCGAGGGTTGCGATCCCGTTGCCGGTCCCGGCCCGGTACGGGCGCGACACTGAGGGTTGCGATCCATTGCCGGTCACGAAAAAAGACAAAAAGAAAAAAAAAAAAAAGTTTCCTTGAGAAAGTTTAATGCACACAGAGGCCTAAACCATGTTTGTCCCATGAGGTATTTAAAATTTTTAAAAATTAATATTAATTTTAATTGAAAAATCATAATTAAATTACATTTATGGAGTACAAAATAATGTTTTGATATATATCTACATATACAATGTGGAATGATTAAATCAAGCTAATTATATCCATCACCTCACAACATTTTTTGTGGTGATACATTTGGAATTTACTCTCTTGACTATTTTGAAATATACATATTTTGACAAACAAAACCATTTTACAAGAGAGTAAGACAGAATGATTACTACTGTCTTGTTCACACTTTCCTCACCAGGCTCCCATCTTCAGGGTGAAAAGTCCCCATAAATGCCAATGAGCTATGAAATGTGGCCTTCTTGGTACAGAATGAATAAAGCCTCACTCTGCCTCTGTTTCATGCTATCCTGATCCTTACCACATGTTCCTCCACATCAGCAGTTTAGCCTTTTTTGAGGGGCATGGATCCCTTTGAGAACATCATAAGTGCTATACTAAGAAAAATCCACATTCAGGCACACTATTTTGCATTCATTTTCCTGGGGTTCGTGGATCTCAGCGATGAAGAACACCAAAGCCATCACAGAAAATTAAAGAAGGTATGAACACATATCAGGTGTGTAGAACACTCTAAGAAAAACTAACTTACACAAATCTGAAACCATAAGCCATATAAATTGGTGGATAATTATAGGCATTACATAGGAGGTTTTTGCTTTGCTAAATAATTTACATTACGACATCTATAAATAGCAAACCCATACAGTGTGTTTGAACCATGCTGCTGTTTACCCAAATGCTAAGACTTTCCAGAACACACCTACTGCAGAGCAACATACTTAATTCAAAAAGTTGAATGCCAGTCTCACTCTTGAATTTAGCTACATTCATTTACAGCTTTCTAGATCGCCTTTATAATGGCCACTAACCATATCTCTTCGGGGACTGATGGCCAGTGGTGAATGATGATGACACCCAGAAACTTCCCAATGGAGGAGAGGTAGTGCATGTGTGTGGGATGTGAGCCTGCTTTGGAGTGGATTCTGAGGCAAAGTGGATTCCATCTCCTTATCTCAGGAAGGATAGGGATACACATTCATTGATGAGTCCCTACACTATACCAGGATGGACATTAGGTCATCTCATGTATTCCTCACAATGATTCTAGAAGGTGGGGACTTTTGTTCCCATTTCCAACTGAGTTCTAGAAAAGTTGATACCCATGCCCGAGGTCACACAGCCAGTAATGAACATAAAAATATAAAATAAAAAAAACCTCAAAGCTTTCTGTCCTAGACTACCATCACTGATGGAAACTTCAGGAGGCTGGGACATGTTCAATGCCCATCACACCAAATCCCCAGAGCCACTTGGCTGTGATTTTGATGCTGCTGATTTTGTCAATGGCTTCCAGGGACGTGTGTGAGGGGAGACAGGATCGCACTTTTCCTTACCCATCTGATCTGCCCTTCAAACTGGCATCCCTCTTTCCTTTGTTAATATCCAGGGACTGCCTCACATTCCAAAAACGCCCGGGGAACTCACAAAGAAATCTGTATAAAAAGCCAGGAGCCCTGCACTTAAAAGAAACCATATGACTACAAACTCCTTCTTACGATTTTCACTCCCGGCTAGTTGCCATTTGGCATCACACTGCTAGCAGCCACATTTTACTTGATCGTCCTCCAAGATTTCCAAACAAGTGCCTGACACCCACGAGAGTTTCAGAGGAAGTGTAACAGTGACAGTGGGGTTGGTTTTGTGTGTATGTATTAGTGTAACTCTCATAAAAGCAGGTGTAAGTTCTTAGAGTATTAACTTCCACAAGAGGAACGTCAACTTTCCCGCGAATGCAGAATTTCCCTTTGCCTAGCTTTTTTTTTTTTTTTTTTAACGATTGGTATCTGAAGTTAGGGATGAGCCCTTGCTAAGCAAAACGTCTCTGAGACCCTTGCGATACTGACACCCCCTGCTGACCCAGTGTCCAGGCTTTTCTGAAGGAGTATCCTTCCATGCCTCAGCCTTCAAAAATCGCCCGTTATCTACACGCACTTTGGGCACAAGCAGGTCCAAATCACAGAACGACCGAGCCATCCCCCCACCCACCCGCAAGAAATCGATCTCTGAACCCAGAGTCAACGTGAACCGCGTGTGCCCGCCGGGTGGAAGCAGCCCAGCGCGAAGGCTCGGTGCAGTGGAGACGTGTTGCAGCACCGTCAGCTACGAGTCCTCTCGGACGTGGAAGTCTCGAGGGGGAGACCGTCCTTGAACCCCGACCGAACTAGGGACACGTCTCAGCCCCGGCGCCAGCGCCAGAAAGGAGGAGAGGAAGGCGGACAGAGAGAGGGAGACAAGAGTGCGTTTGTGTTCTCTGGGGCACGTGTGCGTGGTACCTTGGATTCCTGGCTGCTGGTGGATGCAGGCGAGGGTGGCTGCTCGGCGCTCGCCGCCTCCTTGGGCAGCCCGTCCACGCCGTCCTCGCGGGCGCCGCTCGGAGGGATCATCGTGGCGGCGCGGGAACGGTGTTGGGGCTCCGGAGGAACAGCGAGGCTGCCTTCCTCCGGCGCGCCCTGCCCGCGGCACGCTAGGTCGCTCAGCTTCAGGTCCCGGGGACTCCCATCCTCGCCAGGCGCCGACGTGCCCTCCTCCGGCCTCGCCCCCGCCCCCGCCCCGGGCCCTGCCCACCTCCCGGGCACTTCCGCGGGCGGGGGAGAGCGAGGCTCCGGGGCGGAGCTGCGCGGCCAACGCTGCGAGTAGTGAGGGCAGACAGCAGGGCAGCGCCCAGGAGAGCTCTGCCGGCGGGAGACCGGGCTGGGCGCGCACCCGCACCCGCGCCCGCGCCCGGTCGGGGTGATCCTTTAGGTGGGATAGGGGACATTTAGACCAAGGCGCGAATGAATAGAAAACCCGTGAATGATACAGCCGGGAGAGTCCACCTGCAACAACTCCCACATGCCTCATCCCAAGAAGTAGGGACTCAGAGAATCGCGACTTAGCTAAGATATTTATAGGATTCGGTGACAGACAACAGGGACCAGCGCGGGGTCCCCTGACTCTGGGCACTGCAGTTTCTCCCATTCAGCTTTGATCTAAAGCAGAGAGAGAATGCAATGCGTGCATGGACACCTGTTCCTTGTTTTGTTACACCTGTTCCTTGTTTGTTTCGTGTGCTAAGCCCTCACTTTTTACCTTATTTAATCCTCACAGCTACTCTATGGGGCCAGGTCCTACCAATTCCATTTTATAGATTAGCAAACTGAGATTTCATGGAGGCTAAATAATTTGCTTTAGGTCACTAAACTGTAAATGGTGGAACTGGAATTCGAACCCATTTTGGCTTCAAAATCTATGTTTTTTGGACCGTGGAGCCTCAAATAAAGGCCAGGTCTTAGTAGCTGAAAACCAATTGTATATGACAGTATAAGGAGCTCAGGACTCTTCACAGAGGGGCAGACCAGAGGAGTGTCTTATTAAATCTTTTGGAAACATAGAGATAGCCCCAATGGATAAAGGTACAGAAGGGCCTGGTTTCCTTAGAAGACACAACCTCAGTGTGCAGGGAAAGGAAACAACCTAAATGTTTAAAAACCTTTTTCCCCCGATTAATACAGAAGTCCCTACTTAATTTTCTAATAGAGAATTAAAAACATATGTTTAGATTTTCTTATTAACTGTAAATGTTTGCAAGACCAGTTCATGGGTGTGCAACCTGTGCTGTCACACAAGGCCCTGCCCATGGTTTAATGATCTGATGTCATCTTGAAACTCTTTAAAAGAATTTTTAACAAGTAGCTGCATTTTCACTTTGCACTAGACCCTGAAAATTATCTGTCTGGTCCTGCATGCTTGCCTTAGCTCATGTCCTTTGGAAAAAACTTACTACTCTTTTTGTCCCAGACACCAACTGAAAGCTCCTGTTCTAAGTGTCAGCCTCTTATTTGGCATTTGACTCTGAGTGCTCCAAATTCCTTAGTGACTCTCAGCCTCTCATTTGACCAGGCCAGATTAGCTAGCCCAAATGGCCACAGCTTTTTCCTCCCCCAAAGGCAATTCCCGATTGCTCGATAGAGACGTAATTCTAACAGCCAAAGTCACAGCAATAGCAACCAGAGCATACAGTGACAGGAACCACACATCTTTATCAAACATCTATTTTGTACCAGATATTGTGCTAGAAAATAATCATACAGCAGAGTGAAAACATAGATTACATCTGTTCTCCTGGAACTTGAGACCGGTAAGAGAGACAGAGATTAATCAAATCATACACACACACACACACACACACACACACACACACACCACACACACGCACACACATTTGTAATAAACTATGATAAGGACAAGTTCAGGACTCTAATGAGTATGTACAGATGTGAAGGCCAGAGAAGGGTTTTCTCAGAAAGTAAAACTCCCGGGGTCTACTGGCAATTCCAGTTTTGGTAAGCAGCATGTTGTGGCTTAAGACAAGGAATTTTTCATGTTTGGATTTTATTTTTTTAAGAGTTGAAGCTGTCACAATACATTTTAGTAGATGTTTAGCTCTAAAGCTTAGTAGCAGTATTAACTAATAGAAGAGCTTTAAATATTGTCCCTTGAATAAAATTATAAAGAAGACAGTACCTTCTTCCCTGTCATCTCCACCCTTGTCCCAGTTCTTAGTCTGGTAAATAAAAGCTACCTTTCCTAGGAAATTGTGGAATTACCTCTGGTTTCCCAAACTAAATTGAGCCTTTGTTCATGGGTCTCTTTCAAGTAAATCCTTTACATCCCATCTTTTGTTATCTAGCTAACTTCTTTTATTCTTCAAAACACATCTCCAAGCATTTATTATTCTTGAAATCTCCTTCATTGACCCATTTATCTTATTTAGATTCCCAAATCAATGCCATGATCCCATGGCATCCTCCCCTAAGTAATTAATGACAAAGTTGTCTATCCTTCCACTGGGCTATGAACTCCACTACAGCAGGGATGATGTTGTGTTTATCTGTTTCTCCAGCCACTGGCACAATATTTGTTAACAAGATGGTAAATAGAGGTTATAGCCCCTATAGCCCCTGAACTCTAAGACAGTCTAGGTTTTAGTTACTCCAAGTGTTCTCCACACACTGAATGGAGAAAGATCTTGGATGTTTCTAGAAAACAGTGGGATTTAAAATCAAACAGCTCCTTAATGTTGAGGATTTTGTCTTTATTGGCTTAAAAGAGCATCTAAAACTGTGAGTCATGGCTGTCTGTGAAGGTGGGGGGCTCGCTGATGTGCATGTACATAAGGGATCTTCAAAAGGGAAATTAGGTTCACAGCTCATTTCTGGAACCAGGAGTCGAGGTGGACAAAATGCTGCTTTGTCTGAGTCTGTGGGCAGAGGGCTACTGGAAGAAATGGAAATAACTATATCTCAAGCTTGGGTCACAGGCACTATTCTTTTTGGACACAGATAACCATGTCTGAGTCTAATTCCTGGAGTGATGAGACTCCTCCCACGCTGTCACGAAAGCCAGACCCGGACCTGGTAGTGAAATAACATTGAAATATTGATGGCAATGCCTGGAGGACAGTGGAGAGGACTGATAGTCTACATGTACTGGGACTGGGTGGATGGTAGATCAGCAAAGTGATTCTCAGAGGACACCTGATGAAGCACTGGTGTCCTTGAGCAGAAGTGTACCTTTTCATGGCCCCGTGTGAGATACCTCCTCAGACTCTCAGGAGTACCGGATGAGACCTCACAGAAGACTGGAGGTCTTGTATTAGAAGCTGTGGTGACATTTTAGCTACGGCTTTCAAGATGATCTCATTTCTACTGCAGGCTCTCAGGTTCTTGGGGGCAGGGGGGAAACACTTGCAAGTAATTATTCTAAGTTTCAAGTCTGTAGCAGGACCTTGTGATTTTTGTAGATTCTCTTCATGGTCCATTTCACTCTGGTTGCTGGGTAAATATCAAGCCAGCAGAAGTGTGAGGTGTACAGAAAATTTTCTCCCCAAACTTTAACTGGAAGCTCCCACTCCTGGTTCATTTACTCATCCATTAATTTTTAGAGACAGCAAAGCTCTCCTTCTGATTACATGCAACTGCCTTTCACAGTAGACACTGCTGAGCAGTAGAGTGTGTAATGCTTTCTACCCTCTCCCATCGCTCTGCTCTGAGTTTGGGTAAAGCGACTGGATTTTTATTCCGTGGATCTTGGCTTCTTCTAGAATCATTTGGTAAAAAAAAAATACTAGTAAGACTAGTTAAATAAAACAGCCATTCTTATGAAGGGTATGATAAAAAGAACAGCAAGGAAAGAGAATAGTGAAGATAACCAGAATGTCCAGACGATAGTGTACTGATGAGGATAAAGGAGAGAGGGTCTCAAGGAAGGGCTGGCTCTCAATGTTCCATGTGACAGAGTCATCATGGATAATACCAGAAGGACATAGGGTCTGGATAATAATGGTAGCTAACATGTATTGGGTTTCTAATATATTATAGATATTTTGTATATGTTATTTCATTTAATCCCTACAAAACCTTAGTGAGATAGAGAAAATTTATCCTAGATACTAAGTGAGTGTGGGAACAAGTTTGAAATCAGATATACCCTGCTCCTGGGCCAAGGTTAGGCCACTCTGCTCTGTTGCCACCCAGACAACAAAACAACCCAGATCTGCTGAAAAGGCAGCAGGCCTTGAAGTGAAGGAGCAGCACACGTGGAGAGCCAGAGGCGTAACAGAAGACACACAGAGAGTCCCCAAATCATGAAGAGTGGCCCACTCCATTCTTTCACTTTAAAAGTAAATCATGAACAGATCTACACTTTAAAGGTGATAGCCAAGACATCAAGACAAATGTATGCAGGAGGCACCAGCCAGTAGCATCCATTGTCACCTTGCCTGATGGACCTTCCTTCAAGCACGGAGAAACCAAATGCTTTGCCTAAGGCCTTACAGCCAAACCCACCACCACCACCACCATCAGCACCCCTATGTTCAGCAACTGTCAATGCTAGGCTTTTAGTCCCCAGCAACTGAGGATTGGTCTCTCCTCATAATCAAAGCTTATAATTTAATTTGGAGACTCATGTTGTCAGGGTAAATGAGATCCAGCTTAAGCATCCTTAACTTGTTTTTCTAAGTGCCAATTAAGAATAACAGCAATAATAATGGTAGATCACATTGTATAGCACTGTCTGACGGCATTACAGTTATCCCCACTGGAGATTGCCAGAAAAAGGTAGGGTAGCAAGACCCAAGCCTCATATAGCTGCTTACCTTCTGGATTAAGATCTGCCTCCTTTCCCTAAAATGCATGGCTGCTTCCTGCTGGTTATAACCTCTGTGGGACAGAGGGTGGCTGGAATCTTTATTCTACATTTAGTAAAGGCTATGCACCTAAAATCTAAACATCCCAGCTCTTCCACTTAAAAACAGCAATATCTTAGGCAATTGATTTAATCCCTCTTAGTGTGAACTTCCTTGAATCTAAAGTGGGATACTAACCCCTACTTTATAGAGTTT